AAAAAAAAAAAAAAAAAAAAAAGTAAAGGTGATCCATTTGCGATAGAAACAACCATTTCATAAGCATAAAAAAGACACTTTCAATAACCTAAATAAAAAAGGAAAAAATAAAAAAGCTAAAAACAAGATGAAAATTCGAGCATCTCAACAAACAGACTATTACACCAGTACAAGTCAAAACACTATCATCCCATTCAAATAACTTCATATAAACATAATTTCCATTAACCTAACCACCGAATTAAAACTACTCATCATTACTCGAGCATTCTCCACTCCAATTTCACAAAACTGGACGACAAAAACAACAACAACAAAAAAACATAATCAAACAGTTTCAATCCCCGTATATTTCAAAAAACACGACATCAATCTTAAGCCGACAAACGAATCAATTTTAAATTAATCCAAGACACCATCACACATATAATAAATCCCACTTCTAAAAGCTGCATCCATAATCCACAATCCATAGTCCACAATCATCACAAACACGCTTCAAACTAACGATTAACACGTCAATCAGCAACAGAAAACACAAACAAACAAACAAACAAACAAACGCAATACAATTGAATTATTAGAATCGCACACATACACTATTGACTGCACAAAGCAACATAATGAGCGAAAACACGCAAGTACATGAATCAACAAGAGTGAAAGAAAGAGAAGAATGAGAGAGAGAGTGAAAAAGGATACTGGTAGCATCGGAGGAGGGAGCGAGGGTTGACATGATGAAGAAGAATTGAAGGTGAAGATTACGAGAGAGAGTGGATATATATTTATATATTTATATATATAAAGAAGTAAAAGAAGAGAAGAGAAGAGAAACTTGGAGAAGGGGTCGCCGCTGCCACCGTTTGCTTTGGGGTTTTAGTTTTGCAATAAACAAACAGGGTAGGGTACATAAATCTCCATATAATCAATAATTATAATTAGCTCCTTTCAATTATTTCCACAAACCTACACTATTTTCTGCTTATTTCCTATAAGTCCTTAGTCCTTATATGTTATTTTCCTCTTTTTCTTTTTTTTTTTTTATATGAACATAATTATGCATTTTGCATTTTACTATAATCAACCATTCACGACATCAACAACAACATTAATCTTTAGCTCTTATTTTTGTTTTGATTACCAAGCAACCACGTGTTTAGAAATTTTAAGGGTTTAAATAAATTTATGTTCATATTTAAAATCAATTAAGTGATTCATTTATTTTAATAATATATATATCTGATGGTTTAAAACGACCTCGTATTATTATTTTAGTTTCTGTCATATACAATTTAATTATTATTTTACTAGTAGGAGAGACGTACTTTTAAGTTTTAACTATATATATTATTTTGATTAATTTATATTTTTAACTTTTTTATATTAAAATTTAGATATTTAGTTATTTAATTTTAAAAATACGAGTTTTGATCTTATTAAGCATTAATATTAACTACTGACTTATCACTTGTTAGTTAGCATAATTTAAGTGATGTAGAAAATATTTTTAATTTATATTAATTTTTGTACTGATTATATTTATTAATAAATAAAAAAAGATTTTGGCCTAATTTTTGTGACATTTTATCTTTTCCTAATTAGAAACGTGAAGGATGGTTTTTCTCATTCGTTTAAAACTACTCACTTTCACTCTCTGTGACTGGTTTTGTAAATTCGTCACTTGCAATGTTTCTCATTTATAGCTCAAGCCTCCAACTTTTATTTTATTATATTTATTATTATTATTTATCATTTTAAGACTTTTTGTATCCATGTTGGGACTTGGGATCTTCAGAGTAGATGGATGAAACAAAGTTTTGATGCTGCAAGGAGAGATGAAAAGTTCTCCCTAGAAGTTTATTAAGGTAAAAAGTTAGGAAAGATGTATTTTTTTTCTTCTAATTAATAAATATTAATTATTAATTTAATCAGCACAAAAATTAATTTAAATTATAAATATTTTCTCCATAGATGAAGACAAGTCAACTATCGATCTTAATACTTTACATTAAACAAATGTTAAATTAATAGGATAACCAAAATTTTATAATTGACATTAAAAAAATTAAATATTTTTATTTTAAAATTGTACCTGTATGAAGATATCCTTTTTTTCCTATCAATGTCTTCCCTTCTATTTGCTCTTCAAATCGATTACTTGTATGCATCGACGGGTGTGCACCTGCAAAAGTTATTCCGACGTTCAAGTAAGTTATTTTGCGTAATGAATGAGAATAATTAGAATCTAATTTTACCTTGTGGTAGGAATTATTTATACTAATGTTAATGGGTCTTATCTTAATGGACTTTAAATTAGGGTAACCAACGATTAAATCCTAATCTTAATTCTTGTCACCTTGTTGAGGATGTCGAGTGGTACCTTGGGCTTCTCGAGATCCCGAGTGGCATGTTGGGTCTCTCAACTGCCAGGGGGTGCCGAGTGGCACATTGGGCCTCTCTGCTGCCGAGGATGCCGAGTGGGACCTTAGGCTTCTCAGTCGCTAAGGATACCGAGTGGTACCTAGGGCTCTCGATTATCGATGATGCCGAGTGGTGCTCGATCCAGTAGGTTTTCGATGGCCGAATGGCCTATTTAGTATACATGTCTCCTAGCCTTGGAGAGAGAAATCGAATCAAGGGTAAAGTTGAGAGACAAGGGATGTCAGAAGGTGCATCATTTGTAATCGTCGCGACAGTTTATTTATCAAGGCGGTTGAAGTGAAGAGTCACACAATATGCACCATTAGATCTTGGAGATCTAATGGTTACACTTAAGGGACTTAAGCTTCCTTCTTTTATTAAAGTACTATATATGCATGTGTGGTGGAGTCCACTTCACCATTTTGTCTGAGTCTGAGTAAGTGCCTTATGATAGCCAAGTGAGTGTATTGCATTCAAGTGAGTTCCCTAGGACAGTCGAATCGTGTTTACTTTTAATTGGTACAATCCTTTTCTTTTCATGGCTAAAAGATCTGATTGCACTTCGATTGATGAGTCTTCGGTAGGGTCGTCTATTTTGGGTTCACTATCGAGTTCCCCTTTGTCGTCGTCGTCATCCGATGCATCATCGAGTAACTCAAGCATCAAAGTGGTGTCTATAGAGGGTGGGGTCGATGGACAGCGAGAAAGTGAGGAAAGGGGCCTCGACAAAGTGTCTAATAGCACCAGTCTGGCGGGTTGGCCTGCGCCAAACGATTGTCAAGCCAAAGGAAGTATGACTCTTCTAAGCTGCTTGGATATACTTGGGTGAATGGTGAGGTAGTCGTGTACTTCTCTCACTATCAGGATGTCCAATGTTTGCCAACTTGCTCGAGTATACGAAGTGCTTAATTTTTGACTCTTTTAAAGATCCATATTTGACAGGCACCATTGCATGCCGAAATGACGTATTTCCAAATCCTGACTATGTCTTCCTAGGTAAGCATGCATCGAACATGGACTCATTCTATGTGTATGATTGCTTGTTTCGTGACCTGAAGGTGAAGTTATCATTTAACGACTTTACCATGGGGGTTTTGAGGACCTTAAATGTGGCACTGACTCAACTACATCCCAATAGTTAGGCTCAAATGCAAGCGTTCAACCATCTTTGCTGATGCTTGAACATAGTGCCCTCCCCCTCTTTGTTTCTTCATTTCTACTACACCCAACCATTCGATGTGGCTAAGCGGTTGTCATTGATTAGGGTATCTAAGCGGCAACTACTTGATAGCTTTACCTCATCGTTTAAGAATTTTAAGGCTGGATTCTTTAGGATCACCATTAGACCGATCAGTAGACGCTTCTTTTGCGACGAGGATGACAAAGGCTTGTTTCTGTTCTATTGGGTGCATGTCCCTTGGCACTATGACACCCTACTGAGGGAGTATTTATCGGTCGAAGAGCAAGTCGGCCTAGACTTACTTTTGAAGCTTTCGAGATGCCTTTCTATATGGCGATTAATTAACATGATTGTATCTCCTGCTAGGTAAGTTATTGTTCTTATTATGGCATGAGGGTGAAAATCCTATTAATGTTGACCTGGTTTGTTTATGTAGGAATAATGGTGACAAGCGATGGAGACGAGCTGAACATCTGCAATTTGCTCGTGGGTTGGACGCAACAAGCTCAACAAGTTGGCCTTGTTCAAGGAAGCGAATTAAGGGCTACGACCGTCCAGAAGCTGGTTATTGATCCGTGTGTGCCTCCCAAGCCCGATAGGAAGCACCATGAGAAGAAAGGGCATAAAGACAATGATTCCCATTGGAGTGGTCACAAGAGAAGGGAGGAAAAAGAATGCCCTGATAAGGCGAAGAAGCTAAAATAACAAATGCTTCCTAACTCCTCTTGGGCTTCTCTTGTGGTGCCTCCAACCTTGTTGTCTCAGGGGTTCTTGAACCAAGAAGTTTTGGTGGATAGCATTGCTCGACTGGATATGGTCTCTACACAAGGCCAAGACTACTTGGACCAATTGGAAACTATGTCCAAATGGAAGTATTTCTGCAAAGTCCAAGCACGTTCTCTTGTACTTTCCCACAACCTCGTGATGGAGCCAATCGAGGAATTGGTGAGTATGAGAAATAGATTAAAGGACGTCGAGAAGGCCACCGTCGAAGCCCTTTCGACCAACGATGGCCTTATAGTAGAGAACAAGAATTTTTCTACTGAATTGAACAACACGCTTTGGCTAGACCTTCAAAAGGCCACTTCCAATGGGAAGCGCAACATCGAAGAGTCTAATAAAGCCAAGGCCAAACTGGCTGGGTTCAAGGAATATGCCAAGGAGCGGATCATTGAGCAACATGAGGCTGGTTTCAATCAAGTCGTACATTAGGCCAAGTTCTTTAGTCAATTTTCAGAGTATTTTGAGTTTGGCGTTGGGCAGGATTTTTATGAGGAGGCCTTTATGTGTCATTTAACGAGATGTTGGAGGGGGTTGTTCCTGATGCCGATGCCCTTACACAACACGATGCTACATTGGCCGGGGAGGATGAGACACGCCTCGTAACCACCAATCAGGCCAAGGAGGATAATGTGGAGGATAAGGGTGAGGAGGACAATGTTGTTGACTAGTAGGTCATATTTATAGGCTTGAAATGCCCTTTTGTAATCATTTTGTATTTGCTTGGGCAGTAGCACCCTATGTTTGTATCTTTGGGCTGATAACGCCCTTTATCTTTTAATGACATTTTCCCATTTCTTGTTTTTCTTGTTAAAAAAATACTTGGATGTTGTTTAACACCATGTTATGACCAATAGAGTTTATCTACATTTTGATAGTTTCCAGGAAATGAGTGTAACAAAAATGTTTGAAAATGGTAAGGTGCATCCTTGGCCGAGTAGATTACTCAGGAGGGAAACAAGTGAAAATCTGAATTAACATCCTTGGATGAGTGGATTACTCGGGAGGGCAACCTTAAGTGCAAATCCTAACGTATATCCTTAGCCAAGTAGATTACTCGGGAGGGAAACCTTGAGAGAAAATTGTAAGGTGCATCCTTGGCCGAGTGGGACTCGGGAGGGAAACCTTGTGAGAAAATTTGAAGGTGCATCCTTGGTCGAGTGGATTACTCGGAAGGGAAACCTTGTGATAGACTATGGCCAAGGCCAAGGAATCCAAGAGGTGATACATTGAAGGAACCAAGAGGAATGGGATGATGGACCATGGGCCAAGGGCCCAATCTCTAGAGCTATGGCCACCTTGAAGACCAGTGGGCTTTCCAAGCCCAAGGTACTCTTCAATTTGGACCACTCTATCATGAAGAGAAGACATAGTTCTAGTTGTAAATATCTTGTACATAGTTCTCTTGTATAGGTTTATTTTTGCCTTTGTATTTGTGAGGCACTTTAGTTTCTTTTATTAGTCATTATATATTGGTTCTAGGGTGGGTTACTTGG